TGGTCTTCGCTCATTAGTGTTCAAGGCCTCAAACCTGTTCCTGAGATGATTCTGAAATTCAGGTGGGATGAAATCAAAGTCACATTTTGGCTCCTGTGGATTTGGTTTAATTTTCCTCAGTTTAAGCTTGAACTTGCATATGAGTAGTTGGTGGTCTGTTCCACAATCAGCTCCTGGCCTAGTTTTCACAGCTGCTATACTTTCATAAACACAAAATTTCAAAAGTAAAAAAAAAAAATAATAATTTCTAATGTGAGAAATCAGCCTGAGGTCTTCAGAGATCACTTCTCCAGGAGCTAGCCTTGAGCTGTGATTTAAACACCGCATTCAAGATGCTGGCAGTTCCTTGAAGTAATTCATGCAAAAAAGTCCTCTTAAATCCACAGAGAAAACACTCCATTTAGAAAATGATAAGTTCTTTACAGAATGAGAAACAACTCCAAAAGATCTTTCTTATACACAAGATCTTCATACATGGCAAGTTTCCAGCCACCAATGTCAGTAAGCTGAATTTTCAAGACATAAATATTTAAGACCCAAAGAAAGATTAAGATGTTCTTGGCAACACAACAGAGTACACAGAAGCTGACCCAGGCCCTCCAGACAGCAGAGCCACTCAGGGTGTCTGCACCAGGCAAAGGCTCCTGGAGGCTAGCAGGTGAAGGCCTGGCCTCTGGTTTCAGCACAGACAGATTTTGAGATTCAGCCCAGCCCTTCTACAATGAGCACAGCCCAAACATCTACAATGTGTCCACCCACCACACCCTGACTACTACTACATACTGTCTCCACTGAGGTCAAGCCCACACATCCACAGTGTCCGTGGAGAGCAGCCCTACAAATGTACAAAAAGGACTTAGTAGTCTATACTGAGAACAACACAACCATGTCCAGAGAAGCCCCATCATATAAAGTACTAAGAACTCTCAACTGTCTACACAGGAAATGTCCACTTCAGCTTTTAGGGTTTCTTTAAAATGAGAACTGAAAGTCAAGGACACCTGAGGATAGCCTTCGTTGACAGGGCAGAGGAGACCAAGCTGGCAAAAACTGGAAGGGGTCTTCGATACCAGCAGGTGTGGAACTGCAGACATCCAGCTATCCAGAGAAAGGGGTCATCCAGAGACATCAAGAACTGGGCATGGAGAATATAAAGGCTCAGCTGATTAAATTCCCCAGAAACTACCAGAGACAGGAGGATGCAGACAAATCAAGAGTGTGAGTGCCAACCCAGGGTCCCACCTGAAGTGAATGAGCTTGGGGCGGAGGTGTGGTGTGGGTATGTACACGAAACAGAAAAATGGGAGCAGGACGGCCAGGGCACATTGAGATGCTGTCCACAGGCCGTGCGCACAGCCTGGAGGGTGATGCAAGAACCCCAGGTGTGCTCCCACCTGCGTTTTGCATGCTCAGGTCACATGGTGGCTTGCAGGCAGAGTAATAGCCACATCCAGCTCAGGAGGGGCAGCGTGGGCCCAGGCTGGTGTTCCCGCTCTGGGTTCCAAGCTCTGCAGTGGAGTTCAGAGAGGAACTTGTCAGATGCTGGAAAACCTTGCACCTTCAGGTGCCACTTCAACCTTGCATTGTCTGACCAGTTTATGAGGTCTACTACAGAGAAGGGTTGGGTGGAGTAGTCACGTGTCTGTGTGTGTGTGTGTGTGTGTGTGTGCGCGCGCGCGCGCATGCATGTAGGAAACCACTGAGAGGTAGACAGTGTCAGTAATAAAACGATTTAAACAGTGTAGGCTCAAGATTGGAAAATGAGGAAGAGGTGCCAGATTGGGTTAATGCTGACACGAGGTGTTCAGGACAAGTTCTAGGGGCTGGCACTGCCTAGGCCTCTAAGCAGGAGTAGATGAGGAAGTGCTGCTGCTTTCTCTTATCTAGTACTGAAGTTACACATGTATGACTTTTTGTTAAAAGCACAAGTGAAAATCGGAAAGAATGAAAATCCAGTATTGGGCAGCAAAACTAGCCCACAGCAAGCCAGTTGCTGCAGAGTCCACGGTGACGGCCAGTGCTTTCTGTAAGCCAGCTATGCCTCTGGGGCTTCCAGGGCTGATGTTTCAGAAGT